ATAGACGGGCTGGTGGGAGGGGGAATGTTCTCACAACTTATATTCTCTGCTAGTCATATTCGGTTTTTGTGTGTGTGTGTGTATATATATATATCCATATGCATATATGCTCACTGAGAGTGCTTTACCAAATACTAGAATTCCAGCTAGGATGACTTGTTAGCAGCCTGCCCTCTGTTAGAGCTAATGGGTTGCAGGTATTGATTTTTTTCTATTTCTATTGATTAGGAGGCTGCTGTACATACAAACCTTAGCATAGCATGGACAGAGAAAGGGAGGCAAAACAGTTCACATTGCAGCAACTCATCATGGCGGAAAATTCATCCTGTATCTCAGTCTTCTCCAACTATCTCTTCTGAGTAGAGAAGGAAGGCATTCCTTTTTTGCAGAAATCAACCCTCAGGGCTCATGAGAGGACACTCTTTGTTTCCCAACCATCTTCAAATATACCACTCAAGGGAAGAAAAGGTGTGTAAGAAAAAGGGGAAAAGGAGTCTCACATGGAAAGCATAGGAGTTGTAGCTTCAAGACTTAATCTGAAGCTTATCTTGGGGTACACAATTCATTCATAGCAGCACCCAGATCCCACTAAAATCAGCACAAACACCTTCACTTTGGTGTGCTTTTTGAACACATTCTGGATTTTCCAATGCCTCTGCAAACTAATGAACATGTTACTTTGTAGGAGTGTTGTGAAGCTAAATGAACCATTTGTACAAGATTTTTCTTGGAAGAGGACATAAGTGAGAAACTGAGAGACTTCTGTATGGCAGCATTAGAATCTCATACTTGTTGTCTACCAGAGTCCACTCCTGCCTATCATAAGATTTTTTTAAGGCACTCCCAGGGCAGAACCTGCACCCATTTTGCATGGAAATCTGCTCATTTAAATTGATAGACCTCCATATTCTGTATCTCCCTTCTTCTTTAATTTTTGGTCACAGGGTTACACTAGAGATTATTTTGCTGTAGTATTGATTGTCTGATGTTTAAACTATGTTGTTCATCTTCAAGTTACATGAACCTGAAGATAAGAAGAGAGGCCCAGGGAGGCTTTTTCCATCTGCATTTATCTCCCTATGTCTATCATCTCCATCTCTAGCTCCTTCACCTGCAGGTCTCTGGCAAAACCCACAAATCTTTCCATAGCTTTCTAGTTTGTTGAACTGGGCTAAGAAAAGCACCAGTATGAAGATATGATGCGAATAATGTTTCTTAAGTGCTTTGAGACCCTCTGCTTTGGATGTCAGTGATGACTGCTCTGATCACCCCATCTGCTTTTCTAACAATACAGATATGTGACTTTTTTCTTCTGCAGTAGAATATCTTACATTTTCATTCTCTTTATATGCCATATCTCATTTCTCTCTTCTCAGCCCCATTGGCTTCCAGTTGTATGATCATCACCCTAACCCCAGTTTGTTTTTTCTAACTTCTCCTCTGCTGGTGCATTTCCCTATTAACACCTCTGCTCTGCCTGCAAATGCAACTGCACCAACTCTATCTCTTTTACAGCTCATTACAACAGCTCCTTCTCAGCTGGCCTCCCCCGGACGAAGATTCCTGGATCAAATTTTTATACACTATTGCTGTTTGATTTTATCCTATGTGCCAAAAAGCTCCACTGCAGCACTCAATCCACAAACACTATTCAGTCTCATTACCATCCCATGGAGTTGCTTCCGACTTTGTGCCCTTCATCTCGCTTCCTGCATCTTTCTCGTGCCCCTTTTTTTCCTACAGCACTGCCCCTTCTCTCCACAAATAGCAGCACTCTTGGTTTGCCATTGGAAGCAGACTTCCTGTGGCTCCCTGTCTCATCAGCTTCTCATTTCAAGTAATTTAAAATGTAATTTAAAATCTCTCTATTTCCTCCAGACTATTAATTTCTCTCTCCTTACTCTTCTATAGATGTCATTCTGTGTTGCGCTATTCAGAAGATGCGACTGTTGTAAAAATCTGCCACAGTGATTTTATTCTGTATTCTTGTTTTGTATTATAATTTTTAATTATTCTTTGTAGGAAAGACGAAATCTCAGCACAGCATCTAACCACAGCACAAGCAGTCACACAGGACAGTCTGGCATTTGCATTGCCTTTGTTCCATTCTTCTCCTGTGGCATTTAGAACTGTAGAGGGATTATTGTGAATGGTCTAGGAGTATTTAAGTAGGGTAGTAGGAAGAGAATTATTTCTGGAAATTGGGAAGTGTGAGGCAGGAAGCCATGTTTAGTTCTGATCCTGCGATGCACTGAGCTCTCATAGGTCTGACTTCTGTTAGCCAGAGATTATAGAAATTGCCACCCTGCAAACATGGCCTTCTTACACTGGCAATTTCTTTGGAGAGAACATGGCCTTGTCTTGTTGCTGTAATACAGTATTTGAGAGTACAGAGTAACTGAGAGCCAGCCTTCCTTGGAAGGATGAGGTCCAGATTTCCAGAGTGGTTTTCTTGTCCACACATGAGATGTTTGTGCCTATGGATTTAAGTGCAAGAATAGCCAAATGAAGATTTTTCTTCTTCAGAATCTTTCAGACACCTGGCCCAGGCTTTCTATCTTTCTTTGAAGAATGAGAAGATTTGAATATTGAGGTGCGGTTGGAAAGGAACAACCACTAACACACAAACAAAATGCTCGGAGCTCCAAGAATTATTTATTCTTCCCTTATGCCTTCCTCTTCAAGGCCCCTTCCCTCTTTCAGGAGATACATAAGGGGAGGAGAGGTCCTTGGGTGATCTTCCCTAGCTTTCAAGCTAAGAGCCTCATGGAGCTTCCTCAGCACAGGCCATCCCTTATAGAGCCATAATCTCCCACCAGCTTAGGGGTGCTCTCCACATCCCTCTGCCTCCCAAATTCCTTTGCACCAAGGACAACAGTTCAGAGAGCCTGTCCACAAACTACCATCCTCCACATTCTTGCAGCAGGCTGTACTCAGAGTACTAAAAATGCAGAGTACAGCATGCACCTGCCCCTTTGGTCATCCCTGGCTGTTCAGGAGCTCCAAGTTACAGAAAGAGCCCCCCCAGCTCCAATGGCAGAGGGCAAGGCTAGGATTCCCCCAGATGAACTAGGTACTATGCTTGTCCACAAAGAAAATTTCAGTGATCTCAACCTGCACTGTCTTCTATGACCTCTCCCTTTTTCTGCCTTCCCTGGGGCCTCTTCTGCCTGCTGGTGGTGATTTGTATATAGCTGATGCTGGACACCATGAGTGCTTGCTGGTGAACACCTCTACCTCAGTCTCAGCTGTGAGGGCAGCCTGGATTGTGCCCTCCAAATGGAGGAAATGACCCCGGGTCTGTAGGGCAGCCAGTGGCCCCCTGACTGCTTGCTATAGAGCCCTTAATGTTCATGACTCCTGGGCCAGATTGCCCTGGAAGGCCTGTCCCAGTCTGCACCCAGAGACGGAGTAGGGAGAAGAGGTAACTGGAGTTATGAAATTGCAGCATGGCTGAAGCTCTCCAACTGGTTCAACTTCCCAGCACCCCCTTCCCCCAGCGCTGCTCCCCCGCATAGAGCAGCAGTGAACCTCAAGCAGATCTCCTGGTCTAATTTTTCACTGAACAATGAATCTGATCAGAGAGAAACAAAATCGGTTGTATCAAGAATTAGATTATTTCTTTTCTTCATGATTGTTGCATTAATGAGCAGCTACATGTATAGAACCAGGAGGTGACTAATGTAATTAACCTGGTGTAATGATACTGCTGAGGAAGAGAGAGAGGATTATGACATATTTAGATGTCAGTATTGCACAATTTTGTATGTGTTCCCTGTACTATCAGGTTGTGTCTGACACAGAAAACTTAAGCAGTGATAGATTTCAGTCTGCATCCATTCAGCTCATGCGTCTTTCTGTGTAAAATGAGGATGTGAAAGGTGGATTGCTTTCCCAGGGTTGAGGGGGTGGAGGTATTAAATTTTGGTGGTGTCTTTCCTTAACAAAATGATACTAATTATCATAAATCGTCCTTTCTCATGAAGAATCTTCCCAAAATGTCTGCTTCTTGGAGCAGGCATTGGGATTTCAGTGAAATCCCCAAAGACAAAGTAAGAACACGGGGATCGACGCAACACTGGTCAGGGGGAGGCAGAGGGACGGAAAACGAGCAACACCAAGACATATGCAACTTGCAGCAAACCCGAGAAGAGTGAAGAGCAAGCACTTAAAAATCATAACAGCAATAAGAGCAGAAATACATGCTTATTTTTAAATTACCCTTCCACCTTACATTTCACCCGCCTCCCGGGGAGAGAAACGGCTGACTGAAGTTTTGTGCGGGTCTAACTGCGGTGTGCGGGTCGCACTCGCAGCTCCGGGTACCTACGGCGGGGACGCGAAGGAGGCTGAGCTGGGGGGCGGCGGTGGGGGGGAAAGGCGATCGGCGAGGGAGAGACCCAGCGCCGTCTTCCCCTGGGCTCCGCGGCGGCCGCGGGGAAGCGACCCTTGCCGGAGCCGGCAGCGGCGGGCGAGGCGCAGGGCGGGGGCAGGCTGCCCCCCCGCCCCTCGCTGCCTGCCTGCTGCCTGTGCCTGCCCGCGCAGAGCGGAGCGGGGCGGAGGAGGAGGGAGGCTGCCGCCCGCGGATGCTGGGGCGCGGGCGGCGCGGGCAGGGCGGGCGGCGCGGGCAGGGAGCTGTCCTTCAGCACCGCGGGCCGCGGAGCGCTCCGCCCGCACCGCCGCCCGGGGAGCTGTCCTGCAGCACCGGCGGCCCGGGAGCGCTCCGCCCGCCCCGCCGCCCGGGGAGCTGTCCTGCAGCACCGCCGGCCAGCGCCGACACCGACACCGCCGCCGCCGCCGCCGCCGCTGCCGCGGGGGAGCCGTCCAGCGCCGCGCCGCCAACGCCGCCGCCGCCGCCGCCGGCTTGATGCAGTAGCGGGGCCCGGGAGTCGCCGGGGGCCGCCGCGGGGCAGGGGGTGCCGCAGCCGGGCTCCGCTCCGCGACCCCCGCCCGGGAGGGGCGCCGCGCCTGTCCCCCTCCTCCCCCTCCCCAACCCCCCCTTCCAGGAGCCCCCCTCTCTCCTCGCCCACCTCCGCCGGGAGCGAGCGCCGCGGCTGTGCGGAAAAGCCATGGGAGGCAAGACCTCGGCACCTGTTCAGCTGAAATCAAGGGCTTACAGTATACTGGGCACTCTGGCTTGGTGGTAGGAGCGAGCAAAAGGAAGGAGAAGCAAGCAAGAAAAAGTGAGAGAGGATTGGAGCGACTGCCGCTGCCGGGAAAAAAAAAAATAAAAACCCAAGGAAGATAACTGAGAAGGAAAAGGATTTTCATGGCGCAGGCTGCAGAGCTAAGCAAGAAGACTGAAGGTTGCATCTCTGCTCTTACAGTCTCTAACTGTCTAGGTCCAGATAATGAGAGATTGTGTTGAGGATGCTGCTGCTGCTCCCCTGTTCACTGTGGAAGCCATCTCCAAATTAGCCATTACATATGGAAACTGGAGACCAGAATTTTAGAAAAAGGGATTAAGGCGTCTCATTTTGGGGGGGGTTCTCTCTTTATTTGTTTGGTTTTTCTTGGTTCTTTTCTCTCTTCTTTTTTTCTTTTTCCTTTTTCCTTTTTTTATATTTCAACCAGAACGTTTCCGATTTAAAAGGCAAGCCTCTTCCCGTGTGGTCTTTCTAATTTACACTCTTTTCCGTGGGCTTTCTTACCTCCCTTTTTTGATATCTATCTCTCTCTCTCTATACCCATTATATTATTAGTCGGAATTATTATTCTTTTATTTTATTAAACACACACACCCCAAGAATCAGAAGGCGGTTGGGTATTTGTATAATGAAGAATTATGGGGCTCTTTGACAGAGGTGTTCAGATGCTTTTAACCACCGTTGGTGCTTTCGCTGCCTTCAGCCTGATGACCATAGCTGTGGGGACCGACTACTGGCTTTACTCCAGAGGGGTTTGCAAGACTAAAACTGTCAGTGAGAACGAAACCAGCAAAAAGAACGAGGAAGTCATGACCCATTCTGGATTATGGAGAACCTGCTGCCTAGAAGGTATTTGATTCTGGACCTCCACACCCACCCCCCCCCCACCCCTTCCTCTCCCACCACCCCACGTTTCTCCCTCCTCCCCCCAATAAATCCCTCCACATTCCACCATTTTCTCACTTCATTCCTTTCACGGTCGATTGAGAGTGGTGGGCTCAGTTACTCAGAGCACAGAGGCAAGAAGACAGGCAAAACATTCACTGTTCTGTTCCCTTCTCCTTCTTTCCCACCCTCCCCACTCCCACCTTCTCCAAAAATTCACTTCCTCCCTCCAACTAGAATAATGTGTGTGTTACAAAACCACCGAGAGATCCTTTCAAATAGCAACTGTGCAGTCTGCCTGTCTTCAGCTTGTTTGTATTGCCTGGGTAAGCAATGCCAAAATGCTGTGTTATTGCCGTGCTCCGACTGCAACCAGAGAGTGAAATAATTGCTCTCTTTGCACAAGGCTTATTTGCAAAGACAAGGCTGTGAGTGAGGGGCAATGTGGGGAGGAGGTGATTGCAAAGCACTTTGGATGCAATTTAGTGTAGTTTAGGAAGGAAAAAGAGAGAAAGGGAAGCAACCGTGCTATATCCAAAATGTCTCATACAGAATGATACCAGTCATCTCAAACAGAGTTCAGAGCATTTTGTAATGTCTGTAGGCAACCACATCTCACTGGGTTGGATGCAGAGGGGTCTAGTTTGCTGCTGATTGGTTTGGTTTGGGGCTGGGGTTTTTGCCCAGTTCGTTTGTTGTTGGGAGGTGGGTTTTGTTTGGCGTTGGTTTTGGGGTTTTTGGGTTTTTTTTAAGGTTTATGGTAAAGGCTTAAAATAAACGAGTCTCTGAATGGAGAAATCAGCTGAAGCCTGGTGTGGTGAAACTGAACAGCAACTCAGTGACATGTCTGATGACAGAAGAGACACCACTGCAGCCAACTTCTGGAATCAGACGTTCTAAAGGGAGAGGGAAAGAAAAGAGGGGCCAGTGATTCGCTTTTAAATATGTGTTGCTGAGTACTGCTATTGGCGTACATGTGGGCTGGGGAGGTGGTCTCCAGCCTGCACTGGAGGGAGAGGGGCAAGCGATGTAAATGCATGGTTTGTGTTACACACGTAGTGAGGAGAGAGTGAGAGAACAGGAGCGCACATTAGAGCCCGTTGTGAAAGCCCTGTTTGTGAATCAGCTCCCAGCTGGACAGTGGGCTGCTGGGGTTCATGGGCATGCAGGGATAAGATCGGTGCCTGCCGGTGTCCACTGGAGCTGGGTGTGCCTGGAGCTCCCTGTCAGGAGAGAACGGCAAGTGGGTACCGCAGAAATTATTTTCTTAACCCAGCACTGGGAGATGGAAGGCAGGGGGAAGGGGGAAATAAACTATGTATGTTTTGATGTCTCTCACCAAAGAAAGCTAAAGCTGCTGTTTGGAAATGGTTGTGTCCAGGAAGAAGCATGAATTTCCTCCCCGTTCTTGGTGCAAATGGTTGAGTGATGGCTGGACATGTTTTGAATAGCTAAGTGACTTCATTGAGCGATGGTCTATTTGACGCATACTGCATTTAGTGCCCTTTGTCAACCCAAACTGCTGCCTTTTAACATATCCTGCAGAGGAGCTCTATGCTGAATACTATATGCTGTATCCACGCCAGAAAATCAATAGCAGTAAATTAATGGGGGATGTTTTAAACACACTTGCTCACACACACGCACAGATTTCCTGCAAATAGATAAATACATAGAGGTATATATTAATAAAAAATGAAAAGCCTTTCACACAGATATTCATTACAATCAGGGAAGGAGACATCTCCTTAATTAAAAATTAATGAGAAAGAGGAAAAAAAAAAAGCCCAAATGCAAAGCCATGCAGGGAAGAGAGGCTGCAGGGATGAACTCCCTTCCAGAGCCGTGTCCCCAGGCTGGAGGGCGGAGGGAGGCTGGGGTTGAGATAGAAGGTATGAGGACCCCAGCCAGGAGAGGCAGTGAATTCAGATCATGTCTATCTGCCCACAGAGCCGTACCCAGAGGGACGCGGTCTGAGGGGGAGGAGGAAGGGGCGGGTGAGGTTTGTCAGATTGGAGGAGCTCGGGGCTCCTTCTCCTTTACATCTGACAGGACCCCACAGGCACTGTTGAGAAGTGGCTTGCATGGCAAAAGAATGTGCCAGGATGCTTCCAATTAAAAGCTTTGAAGTGCCCCCAGCCCCCACAATGTTGTGCTGCCAGCCCAGGTTCCCTGCCCTCCCTGCTGATGCTCTTCAGTGGGCTAAAACCCTCACAGCCCTGCATGAACGGCATGAAATTCTGCCTGAGCACAACCTGCATGGCCCTGGCAGGGTGCTCTCACTCACCCCACACACGTGAGGGTCGGGCTGGCCCAATCCCTCAGCCCCCCAATGCTGGGCAGCAGCAGCAAGTGGGGTAGGAGGGTGCAATGCACCACAGGGGAGCTGAGCCCAGCTCTGAGTGCCATGCCTGAGGGCACAGGTTGCACTAAAACTTGGATAAAGACTTGGTTTCAAGAGCATCTCAGCAGAAGGCAAAACCATCCCCATGGGCACGCGCTGAGCAGGGCCTGAGCATGGATTTGCCTCGTGAGGTGGCACAGCATAGGTTTGGCACTGGCACTGCTGGGATGCCTCTGCTTGGCTTCTTGCAGCCCCATAGCCTGCATAGGGTGGTGGCTGGCACTCCCTTGGTCCCAGGACAGCATAGCCAAATATCCCCACCAGCCCTTGGATGGCAGGGCTCTTACTGTCATGTCTGATCAACTTAGTCATGGGGGTATCTTCTTTCTTGTCATAAAGAATCAGAACTGTGTCCCTGGTTGATTTCCTCTCCCTGGTGAAATCTTCCTGCTGGTGAACAGGAGAGAGAAGGATGCAGCAAAGGCACCTTTCCCCCATGATACATAGAGTGGGTAGATTTATGGAGAAAAGAGCTTCGTCTTAGGAGGCTGTAAAAAGGACAAAAACCTTGGTCTGTGCACAGCCTCCCCATGGTGTGGCAGAGGCACATGATAAAGGATGTGGGGCAGGCACTCTTCTCCCTGGGGTAGATGTCAGGGCAGGTCTGTAGGGTGAGGGAGGTAGTGAAGAGGAGGGCAGGAGGCTTTGTAACAAGAAAATAATCAAAGGAGGAGTTCAGACTGCCATCTGCTACTGGTAGGAAGCCTCTGATAATGTTGCCTTCATTTCTGGAAACGTGGAGGAACGCTGGCATTAGTCAACACTGTAGGCTGTCAGAGATGGTGGACACCTCATGTTCAAGTTATCATACTAAATTGTCTTTTCTCTTCTTGACCAAGAGATCCCATAGCAAAAATGGATGTGAGTACTTATCTTGGGTTCTATGCACAGATACATTGTTGTCAGAATTGCAAGCTCGTCTTGGAAAATTTCATTCCCAGGCTTTCAATTTTGGGGTTTCCCTCTCTTTAGTCATTCTATTCCCTACAATGGACTTTCAGTCAGCACTTTCAGATCTTTGTATTACTTCAAAGAAGAGTGCAATTTGGGAAGTTCCTCCTCTATTGGGATTTCTTTCCCCCCTTTCTTGTGTCCTACAGTGAGCCCCTGCTCCATGGTGGGACTCAAGCAGACAGGTGGTGTCAGTTCACATTACTGCAGATCATGCTTCTGAATTTTTTCCCTAATCTTCCTCCAGATGATTCTCTCTTAGACTTTGGGGTTGTCCAAATGTGTCTCTGGGCCATTCAAAAGTCTCTGCCCTTCAAGAAAAATGGTTTTTCTCCACCCTTTAGCTGTATAGACACAAAACACACACGAGCACTGAACAATTGAGATCTGCAAGCTCATGCCCCACATGGATGCTGCACCTCTTACAACTTCGAAATGGCTGCGGATATTCCAGCCTAATTCCTTCCTGGCACTGAATGTTTAAAACCGCTTTTTATTATGAGTGATGCCCTGTCTAATTCTTTCATTAGCTCCTGTAGATCTCCTACAGGATCTCAAAAAGTGAGGGATGGTGCCTTATCAGGGTCTTATGAAGCAAGCAAATGAAATGTATTTCATATCTGTAGGTTATTGGTTTTGTCATGTTGTCATTATTATTAAGAAACGGATAGGTCTGGGAGGCTTTTGTACTGAGAAGGCGGGAGAGAAGAGTCCAGGGCAGGCAGGCATGAGTGATGCACATGGGGTTAGACATCCCTGTAGATCTGACTGGTGTGAAGGCAAGTAATTGAATGGATGTTGGTGGAGAAAATAATTCCTGCCTAGAGACCCTTCCCAAGGAGAATTAATGAGCTGATCTGTTCCCTTTCCAGCTTGTTATATCTGAACAGTGCATGAGAGCTAAGTGCAGATCCAGTGTTTGCAAAAATGAAGAGCTGACAGCAAAGTGAGGCAGGGCATAGGCAGTGGACAAGCTTCTGCCAGATGATTCTGGCACTGTGTCGCTTCCTCTCACTGCCTTCTCCCACTGCTGTTTGTTCCTGGTGCACCTCTTTCCTTTCAAATCCATTTTATATCCAGGTTTTTTCCGTTTTCCTTCTTACCTTTCATGATTTTATTTCTTTCAGCTGTTGTTTCCTGTCAGTGTCCCTAGTTTTGCTCTCAGAATTGCCTGCCGTCCTACTTCCGAGGATCCATAAATCTACAAAGGGTCGTTTCCTTTCATCCTTGCTGACCTAATCCAGGGCCTTGTCTGAAAATTCAGTGTGTGTAGCAGTAGATTAAATCAGGGTCTCCATGTGTTCACAGTTCAGGACCAGGAGCATCCTAGCCCAGCCGAGAGATGCAGCAGAAGGAAATGACCAGGCACAGAGCTGATTGTTGTTGGCATTACATCTGACGGGGAAAAGAGGATTCAAAGCTGGACAGGCCTTGGGTGAAGAAGAAGAAGAAGATAAAGGATTTTAAAAAGTGGGGTGGCAGATGGTGAGGAAGAATTACTCAGGATCCCAGACTTGGGTGGGTTTGGTTCTCCTCTCAGCTTAAATTCACACCTGACTGAAGTCACAGAGAAGACAGGGATGTGAGGGGTTGAGACCTGCAAGCTCAG